GAGGCTGGGTGCGGTGGCTCTGCCTGTAATCCCAGCACTTTGGGAGGCCAAGGCCGGTGAATCACCTGAGGTCTGGAATTCAAGACCAGCCTGAACAATATGGTGAAACACCATCTCTACTAAAAATACAAAAATTAGCCTGGTATGGTGGTGCATGCCTGAAGTTCCAGCTATTCAGGAGGCTGAGACAGAAGAATTGCTTGAACCCAGAAGCGGAGGTTGCAGTGAGCCAAGATACTATCACTGCACTCCAGCCTGGGTGACAGAGCAAGACTCTGTCTCAAAAAAAAAAAAAAGACATAAAGGTAAGTAATCTCTCAGTGCCTCAGTTTTGTTTTTTGAAAAATGAAGTTGATGATATATGCCCTACTTATGTCACAGCAGCTTTGCTAGAATGTCAAATCATATTAAAGTCACGGAAACACTTGAGGAAATAAAAGTAGCACTGGAATATAAAGTGATTTTACCATCAAAGTGTCTAGCTTCCATAGAAGTCTGACCATCTGCTTATGCATCCTAACCATAAATCACCAAAGGAAATTTAACATATATAGCTATTTTCATTAGCTCTTATGGTTTTCATCCCATGTGGCATTGTAGGTCTTTAAAGTTGAAAGGACTCAAAGATTTTTGAGTTCATCTTTCTTATTTCACAGGTGAAGAAACTGAGTCCACAGAAGTCAAGTGACTTGGCAAAGTCAAACAGCTCTTAAATGACAGAGATGAGCAAGGCACTACATATCCTGAATCCTAGGGCAATGCTTTTCTATTACATGGACAAATGAGGGGTGGGTGGGGGTAAAGTCCAGATAATAAATTGAGCCTACATGACTTCACAAAGAAAGTTAGAAAGTTAGGATAAATAAATACATTCCTAACTTGCATAGGTTTATTCCATAACTTGTATGAATAAACAGTAATAAATAACTGATTTATTACTTAAAAATCATTCATTTAATTAGCCAGGTGCAGTGGAATGGCCCCTGTAATCCTAGCTACTGGGAAGGCTGAGGCAGGAGAATTGCTTCATGCGAGATGGTGGATGCAGTGAGCCAAGATCACACCACTGTACCTCAACCTGAGCAACAGAGCAAGATACTGTCTAAAAGAAAAAAAAAACGCCGGGTGTGGTGGCTCATGCTTGTAATCCCAGCACTTTGGGAGACCGAAGTGGGTGGATCACCTGAGGTCGGAAGTTTGAGAACAGCCTGACCAACATGGAGAAACCTCGTCTCTACTAAAAATAAAAATTAGCTGGGCATGGTGGTGCATGCCTGTAATCCCAGCTACTCAGGAGGCTGAGGCAGTATACTTGCTTGAACCCCAGGAGGCAGAGGTTGCAGTGAGCCGAGATCTCACCATTGCACTCCAGCCTGGGCAACAAGAGTGAGACTCTGNAAAAAAAAAAAAAAAAAACCAAAGATTAATTCGTTTAATTGTTTTATATGCTAACATACTATTCTCAACGAGATTTAAAGGTTTCTTCCTTTCTTTCTTTCTTTCTTTCTTTCTTTCTTTCTTTCTTTCTTTCTTTCTCTTTCTTTCTTTCTTTCTTTTCTTTCGTCTTGTTTGGACAGCACATAGATTTTAAAGTTCTAATGGGTTGTTCTATATCTCTTAATACCTTTTTGTTTTTCAGAGTAATTAGGCTATATTAAGCATTCACAAAAGTAATTCGGCTGGTTGTCTCCTATTTTTATTTTTGTGTTTGAAGTCATTTCAAACTTACAGAAACATTGCCAGAACAGTACAAAGAACACTTAAATAGAGAAAGTCTTTACTCAGATTTTTCAAGTTTTAGCATTTGCTTTGTCTCATCTATGTCTATTTAAATATATTACACATTTAAAAAATACACATTTTTTTCTAAACTATATGAGTAGGTGCACATATCATGCCTCTTTATCCTTTAATATTTCAGTTTATATTACATAAGAACAAATTTTTTCCCTTAACATGACTACAGTATAATTATTAAATGTATAATTATCAAATATTTTTAAAACTCAGGACATTTAACATTGATAGAATAGTTTGAAGTTCATTTTAATTTCCTTAATTTTTCCCAAAATATTATTTAAAGAATCTTGGTCCAGTTCAGGATACTGCCTAGGATTACATATTGCATTTAGTTGTCCTGTCTCTTTAGACTCATTTAATTTAAAGCAGCTTCTCAATATTTTTTTGTCTTTTGTGCCATTGGCATTTATAATTAATACAGGTCAGTTATTTCATAGATTATATCTATTAAGATTTGGGTTTCTCTGCTGCCTCCTTATGATTAGACAGAGATAATCCATTTTTGGTTGGATTACTACATGAGCGATATTGTGTCTTGCTTGTGTTATCACATAGAGAGGTACTTGGTGTTCCTTTGCTTCTTGTTGATGATATCAGTGTTGATCTACTTGGTTAAGTAAGATGTTTTTCCACTTCTACACTATTTTCCCTCATAATTATTAATTAACTTGTGGAGTTGTATTTTGAGACTGGGTATATAACTTGTTCTTCATCAAAATTCCTTCTGCTAGATCTGGCATTTATTGATCATTCTAGCCAGAATCAGTTACACTGTGATGGGTACAAAATGGTAATTTTCTAACTCTACTTTTATCTATTTGTCTTATCTATCAGTCAACATTTTGCTGTAAAAAACAGCTTTTTCTTCTTCTTTATTTAGTTATTATGAATTTGGACCTGTGAATTGTTATTTCATTTATTTATAATTAATTTCTCCCTCTCACTCTTGCTGAAATTATCCCAGATTTGAATTGGGATACCAGTTGGAATTCATTCAAGCTGGCTTCTGAGTCATTTTGACGCACACTGATCATCGTTTGAGCACTTCCTTACTTTCTGACACACAAAAACCCCAGGCTTATCAGGTACCTTCCCTGCCACAATCTTGAAATTAGCCTTTCTCCATGAAGCTCTAGTTCCTTATTTAGGCTGATTGATTTTTGAAGCTGACATCATGGAGATCAATTGAGTCTTTCTAAAACACAACTTCTCCTTTCAACAGAAAGCAATGTGGAACTGGAAAGGTTTTAAGACTCATCTAAAAAGAAATGTTCTGTGCTAATTTTTAAAAATTACTTTTCCAGGGTTAGGAATTAGATGTGAGAAATGAATCCATGGCAACAAAATGTACTAAAGTATCTATAAAAGAAACATTTCAATTACACATAAAATTAGTCTACAAAAAAAATCAACTCAATTAAAAATTTAGTATTTCAAGTGAGTTGAAAATCATGAATTCACATTATAGTGCAAATGTAGATATAAGTTATATCTTGAAATTATTTAAGAAAGTCAACATGGCTCAAATGGAAAATAGTATATTAATGTAAACTCAAAATATTATTTTAAATATCCAATAAGAAATATGTAATAATTTTTTAAAAGATGAAACTTAAAACCCTTAGTGTCTCGTATATTTAGGGGATAAAATTTTAATTGAATAAATAAGGAGATTTAGGAAAAGGGCAGCCACTTATAGGAATTCAAATAAAAAATATGCACATGATAGGTCATTAATAGAATGCCACATATGCCCCCCCTGTGTAGTGGGCAGCCAACTTCCAATTTAAGTACCATTTCTTTTAAAATTTGACTTTTTCTTTTAAGAGCCAGCCAAGAAAGCAAAAAATAAAGATGAAAGAGCAGTTTATTAAGAAGGCAGGCTGGAGTTCATGTTGTCTTTGCCCAAGAAAAGCAAGCCAGCCTAATCTATTGCATCCCAGAGGTGGCCTTTCATTGTGAAAACAGCTTGTGGCAACACCTCTTCTGCAGCCCTGAGGCAATTAAATATCTACCAATGGACAATCCCCCAATTACTTCTCAAGTGTTTTAAAACCAGCAGCAGAGCATGTTGTAACTCACCATATGTTGTAATTAAATGTAGGAACTCACACTTCCTTGTGGCCATAAAAATTCTGTTTGGGAAGCAAGGATGCAATATCTACAATTGTCACCAACATGAGATCAGGCCGGAATATATAGAAGATGAACCTTGCTTCCCACACTTATATTAATATATACATCCTCATACCAACCCTTAGTTTATTTCAGATTCTGCAGGCTTCTCAGCTACCACATTTGTAACAGTAAGAAACAAATTTAGATCAAAAGAGACCGCAGGGCAAGACAGGAATCCAGGAGCATAACTGGACTAGAGTTTCCAGGTCCTGCTGTTTTCTTTCAAATAATGAAATAAGTGAACATAAAAGAGGAGGCCAGGTTAAAAAACAGAAAGGAAGCTGGGCAAGAAGCAGCAATAAGACACCAGCTAAGAACGATCAAGTTTAGCTGTGCCGGACCTGCTGAGTCTCGATCATTTTGAGGGAGGCTTCCTCCTATTGGTAAAACTTAAAAAAAAAAAAAAAAAAAAAAGCCTTCAGAAAATAATCCCTCCAGTACTCAAGGAGATTGCAGCATACTGGAGTGAAATGTTTCAAGATTCCATTGTAACTGATGGCAATATCCTTCAAACAAATGGTCTCAGCTGGAGGAGTGGAGCAGCCACACATTAACGGGACTTAACTGTGCACAGCACCTGTCCTCAATCATTCCAGGAGAGAGGACACAACTCAGTAGGAAGCTGAAGCTTATAAGAAGAATTATCTGACTTTCCTGCTCAAAAGAGTGGTAATGCTGATAACATAGTAGATAAACTCTAATTAACATTTTGAAAGACAGTGGGGAAGAATTTGCTCAGAGGAAAGTGGTACCCAAAGCTGTGGAAATATTTGGTGTGTGGGAGAGGAAAATGTGGCCACACTGGATATTTGGTGTGTGGGAGAGGAAAACCTGGCCACACTGGGTCATCTCTTACTACATTCCTAGGATGCAACTCCGGAGGCCTGTGGGGAAGCCAGGGTGGCTCAGGATGACAATAGGCACTGTGCTGTAGCCCTGCAATAAGTCTATCCTTCCACAAGCAGAAGGATATCTGCTATCCCTGTAAGGTGGGAAGAAGTGAAGAGAGACACCACACTGACCTTCATGTCATGATCTGGGTGAATAAGCTTGAGAGTCTTCCACTTATTGTTTGACTTGCATTCTCTGAAAAAAAGAGAACAAAGTGGCATTGTCCCATTACTGAGACCATATAACTTGTTTCAGTGTCCTCGTCTCTGTCCCTGCCTCTACTTACATTTATGGTGGGTCCTTGCTGAAGCTTACTAACATCACTATTTCTTATACACTATAACACAATTACAAAATAAAGAGCTACATCCCACACTCCCATCTGCCCTCCTCTCATTGTCGCCCATTCCCCACACCCTTACCTCCATCTTCCCCGACATATGAAACAGACAAGTGATAGAATTCCTTTTATCAAACAACTTGCAGAGTATTACAGAAGGAAGGTCATTTCAGTCCGTTTTCTATATTTTTATAGCTACAATGTAATTATCATTGATGTTCAAAATGAATGTTTGCAGCACTGCAAATTCTGTACCCTGAAGGCCTAAATTATATTCATTATAGTTGTACTGCTATTCATTTTATTGCATTCAAATTTTTTACAATTCATGTGTAACATATTCAGCAGTAGTAATAATGAAATAGAACCCCTCATTCTTCAAGAAAGCTTCCTGAATCAATTATCAGCAGGAACAGGGGAGAACAATAATGGTCTGGGGTTCCTCTGGGAAGGTTGTTTTTACAAACAGGATGGGTGCAGAGCAGCTCTTCTTAACATCTTCGTGGAGATGACATGAAAAGCAAGTCCAGGATTCTTCCTTTGTCTGAATCTTTAATTGAAACACACACACACACACACACACACACACACACACACACACACAAATAATAATTTAGAAAACACCACTCCAAAGGTCAATACACTGTATAATACACTGTATAATTATAAACCTCCATTCTTTCTGGCCTTATTTATTTTTGTGCTCACCCTCATGAGATATGGACAGGTTGAGGAGTGAATCAGGGCATTTGAAAATGTAGATAAGTAAATGGAGGATTCACAAAATACTCCTTTGAAGGTAATGGAAGAGAAATGTAAAGTTACTGATTGCCTGGTTTGGATGATAAATGGAAACTGGATTTAATCACAAAGATAATAACAAGTATTGACATCAGAAAGCAGTGCAAACTTCATGCTAAGCCTAGTGCACAAAGCCATAGACCTGTTGTTTCTTTAAATAAGCTGGGCTATCAATTGTATTAAAACTTTTACTCCCTAGACCTCCAAGCAAATTTATAATCACAAAATGAGTGCAATAATGACTGACTCAGCTTTTACTTTTTCTCTAAATCTCATATATCTACAAGTACATAATGCAAAAGATCCCTTGAACTGTTCTGGAAGTCAGTATATGAATAAGTACACGTTTTTAGCTAATTCAACCAAGCAGACCTTACCATAAAGGAAGCAAATTTAGAATTTTATAGGCAAATGCTTAATTGCTGTTTAAAAGTCAAAAGTAAGATCTTCTTTTCTGTAATTTGCTACTGTTAGAAAAACTATAATGTGATACTCGAAATTTGACAATAGAATTTAAAAGAATGGTTGCAAATGCTAGTTGAGGGGGCTAGAATCACAGCTCATATTCTCATTGCCTGTGGAATCTTCAGAAACTTTCAAAGCAATGTTCTCATGTAACTTATTATTGGTCGCAGAGTTCCTTAAAACATAGTTTTCACACATGGCTGGGACACTTGGTGAAATTGCAATCACCTCTGAAGTGAGATACCTGAAGTCAATAACCAGATTGACTGATCATGCCCTTGCCTGTCTTCATATTTGCAAGCAGGTGTAATGACAGTTGATACCACTTGTGTAGACAGCAATTTTCTGCTAAAAGCTTGCTGCCAAACAAGAGGCTTGTTGCCTTGCTCAGTTACCTCCTTTTCTTTTCTGTGGAAGGGGAAGAAAAGAAATGATTAAAAACTGAATCGTCCTCAGGATGAATAAGCTAAAAGTATTAGGCAACTTAATAATTCACAGAAATAATAGTTCAGTACATAGTACTAGTATAGATTTGAAAAACTTACAAATAAGGTATTGTTGAACATTACTATTTATAAATAGGTATTCAATTTTTCAAAAATTGAGGATTCTTAGGAATTGCATATGCCTTAAAACTACCCAAACCTGCTTTTCAAAGTATGGATTTAATGTAGCCAGTTCTCCAATATTTGTCCTAAAAGCAGCTAGGCAGAAATGTGACATTAAATGTCTCATCTTATTTTTGTTTTAAAGATGTATCCATGTTAAAGTGGTTGTAATACAGAGAACTATGACTATGGATTATTTTTAAATTCTGTTTATTCTCATTTGTGTTTACTAATGGTTCTATCATGTTTATAATGATTTTAACAGATAAAAATAAGTTAATTGCTGGGTGCGGTGGCTCACAACTATAATCCCAGCACTTTGGGAGGCAGAGGCAGGAGAATCACCTGAGGTCAGGACTTCAAGATCACCCTGGCCAACATGGTGAAACCTTGTCTCTATTGAACATACAAAAACGTAGCAGGGTGTGGTTGCAGCATGCACCTATAAAACCAGCTACTCAGGAGACTGAGGCAGGGGAATAGCTTGAACCTGGGAGATGGAGGTTGCAATGAGGTGAAATCAGCACACCGCACTCCAGCCTGGGCGACACGGTGAGACTTACTTTCAAAAATAATAATAAGTTAATAAAAATATACCTGGCCAGCTTCTGTGGCTCCCGCCTGTAATCCCAGCACTTTGGGAAGCCAAGACGAGAGAATCTGTTGAGCCCAGGAATTTGAGACTGGCCTGGGCAACATGGCAAAACTCCATTTATACTAAAAATACAAAAATTAGCTAGGTGTGGTGGTGCACACCTGTAGTCCCAGCTACTTGAGAGGCTGAGGTGGGAGGACCACTAAAGCCTGGGAAATTTTTTTTTTTTTTGAGACAAGAGTCTTTCTCTGTCGCCAGGCTGGAGTGCAGTGGCGTGATCTCGACTCACTGCAACCTCCACCTCCCAGGTTCAAGCGATTCTCAGTCTGAGGAATTTCTAATTTCATGCTTTATGGGAATTCTAATCAGAATTTTAAAACTGGTTTCTGGTGTTTTCTTCAGAGCTCGTTAATTGTTGTCCTAGAAAGGCTTCAACTATCTCTTAGCCCTTTCACTGCTCTATAACTATAGGTGGACACTTCAGCTATTGCAAAAAAAAAAAAGAAGAGAAAAGAAAAGAAATTCCACCCTAAAGGTGATAAGGCTCCATGTGAGGTCACAGAATATTGGACATCCAAGCCAGAATAACTTCATTTACTAGCTATATGTTTGTAGGGATGACACTTAACTTCCCTCCACTGAGTTTCTCCATTTGTAAAATGGTACCAACATCCAGGTAAAGTGTTTAGAAGAATAACTGGCATATAAAAACATTAAGTGTTAGCTCTTATTTTATGACTAAATTAAGGAAAGGTTAATTTGCAAGAATGTATACAGATTAGAATCATAGAAATGTAGAAATCATCTATAATGTCTATTATTGGAATATTTATAAGGATAGAATGTGTGGTAAGGCATGATTTGACAGACCTGAAGATCCAGAAATTCACACGTAATGGAAAGTTTGTCTGTATCCAACCAATAGCTGAAGAAACTTTTTTTTTTGAGAGAGGGTATCACTCTGATGGCACAACCACAGCTCACTGCAGCCTTGATCTCCCAGGCTTAAGCAATTCTCCTGCCTCAGTCCCCTGAGTAGCTGGGACCACAGGCATGTGCTACCATGCGAGGCTCTTTTCTTTTCTTTTTTTTACTTTTTGTAGAGAAGGGCTTTCCCACGCTGGTCTTGAACTCTTGGGTTCAAGTGATCCTCCTGCCTCAGCCTACCAAAGTACTAGAATTACATGCATGAGCCATCGCACTCAGCCAAAAACCCAGAATGTTTTTAAGATTCTAGGTGTAAAGAATGTCTTCATTCTTAGGTAAAGATGAATACCAGTATTACTTCTACACAGTCTCTGAACTAATTTAATATCTTATGAATTACAAATAAACTTGATGAGTTAAAGAAAAGTTAAAAGCCAAATTACTGTTAGCCTCCATTTTTAAGAATATCAATCCATACATATATTATTTTGTTGTATATTTATCCTTAGCACATATATTTTATCAGTTGCCCTTAGCATCTATAAGTAATTAATAGAGATTCATGTCTTAAAATGTTACACCTTGCCATAATAACAAATGTTCTCCACCTTGCTGTGTTTCCACTCTTTCTCTTGCCAAATGACCTCAATTTGTCAACACTAAAAACAGCCAGGTGTAGGGTGGTACATGCCTGTAGTCTCAGCTACTCAGGAGGCTGAGGCAGAAGGATTGCTTGAGACCAGGAGTTCTGGGCTGTAGTATGCTATGCCAGTCAGGTGTCCACACTAAGTTTGGCATCAATATGGTGAACTACTGGGAGCAGGGGACCACCAGGTTGCCTAAAGAGCGGTGAACTGGCCCAGGTCAGAAATGGAGCAGGTCAAAACTCCGGTGTTGAACAATAGTGGGATCGCTCCTATGAATAGTTACTGCACTCCAGCCTGGCAACATAGCGAGATCCCATTCCTAAAGGAAAAAAAAGAAAAACATTAAAAAAAAAAATCCTTTTCCTAGGCTGTATTCTTGTTAATATAGCACATTAAAATATACCTTATGTTTAAGAATGTGATATGCAGCTATTAGACATCACATTAATTTTAATAGATGAAAACTAAATGAAAGAAGCAAATAGGAAGCTGTATACAATATTTTTTCTCATGTAACCAAATGTTTCAGTATTATTGTTGAGAACATTTGATCTAATCTTGTCCTTATCACATTTTGGATTCTAATGTATCAGTGGTGCTTTCAGAAATGAACATAATCTCTTTCTTTTTACTCCTGTGCCTTGTACTGTATAAATGATAAGCTGGTTCTCAAGAGATTGCTATATTGCTTTTTCATCTTCCCTTCAGAATAAGAATATTTTAGGCATGAGTGTTGTGCTCCATCACCTTAAATAAATGATAAATAATTCTTCTTTACCAATACAACTTCAATTATATATGATTACAGGTGTGTTCTGCAAACTTTAAAATCACAATGATGTACTGGTTAAAGTTACAGTTTCTCTTTTTAATAAACCACCAACAGATTAAAAAGAAATATCTCAGTAGCTGCTGAATATTCTCCCACTCCTAAAATTCAAGAGACATGATTTGTGAGAGCACAGTATGTTCAGAATAACTATCACATAGAACACCCTATGTGCAACTGGAGATTCTACATGTCTAATTTCATAATTTGAATGCTAATTTCTTTTTTATGTTTATTTTTCTACACTATGTCCCGTGCCCATCATTACTAATTACATAAGCATTTGAGCCAAATCTTGACCTACAGATGTCAAGAAAAAGTTTATATATGTAGAATTTTTAACAAGCAAAGTTGTTATTCTGAAAATCACTTATTTTTCCTTTATAAATATTTTATAGGACTCTTTATTTAAATAAATAGAATTTTTAAAATAGGCCAGGCACAGTGGCTCACACCTGTAATCCCAACACTTTGGGAGGCCAAGGCGGGCAGATTACTTGAGCTCAGGAGTTCCAGACCAGCCTGGTCAATATGGTGAAACCTTGTCTTTACTAAAAATACAAAAATTAGCCAGTTGTGGTGGCACGTGCCATTAATCCCAGCTACTCAGAAGGCTGAGGCAGAGAACTGCTTGAACCTGAGAGGTGGAGGTTACAGTGAGACAAGATTGCCCCACTGCACTCCAGCCTGGGTGATAAAAAGGGACCCTGTCTCAGTAAATAATTAATTAATTAATTAATTAAATAATATGGTATATATTGCTATGTAAATGTCCTAAATACTGTATTAAAATAATGTTAGAACATTAACATAAACACATGCTAAAAGAAAAGTTACATATAATCTCAAATCTATGTTGTAAACATGGTTTTTGCTTGCCTAGCACCTCTCTAGAGCATCATTCTCCTCTAGTTCTGAATCAATGTTCTTCTGATGTGGAGATTTCAAACCAGAGTTCAAGAGAGGCATGTAGCCAAAATGATTAGTTCAGGCTGAGCCAATCAGAATGGATCTCAGCCTTATGCTGGAGTATTAAGAGTCTAAACTAGCAGGATATGAGGTCTTGCCCAAGAATAAAGTTCATCAAGAATAATGCAAGGCTGACTACTAGAAAAAGAGAAATTGAATCTTGCACCATTATTTGATTCCCTGGATCCATCGCTGCCAAAATTCTGATAACCTCTGGACTTTTAGTCACATAAGAAAATAATTCTCATTTTTCCTTTAAGAGGCTTCAAGCTGATTTCTACTGTTTGCAAGAAAAAGTGCTCTTGTTAATACACTGTATTACTCTAGAAATTAGAAAAGAAAATACCTAACACTCAACTTGGGTATGGTTGTGATGAATCTGTTTCCCCAAATACTCCAGGGGATTGTAAATCATTTTAAAGGTTTAGAAAATAATGTGAATATAATGAACTGCATATCATGTTCTGTTATTTTGGTTAAGAATACAATATGACTGGTGACAAAATCAATTGCAGCGTTATATCTGTCCTCCAAAATTAAATGCAACCTTACTCTTAACTATTGGACAATGACTAAGTACTGTATATAATACTGTGTCAACATTATTTTACTTATCAAATCTCCAATTATGATTATGCAAAAAGAAAATATATGAAAAGAATCAAAACAATATTGCATGTATTATAGTAATTACAGCTACATAAAGTGATATATACATAGAGGCAAGTGTTTTTCTTTTTTTTTGAGATGGAGTTTTGCTCTTGTTGCCCAGGCTGGAGTGCAATGGCACCATCTTGGCTCGCTGCAACCTCCGCCTCCTGGGCTTAAGTGATTCTCCTGCCTTAGCCTCCCAAGTAGCTGGGATTATAGGCATGCACCACCATGCCTGGCTAATTTTGTATTTTTAGTAGAGATGGGGTTTCTCCACGTTGGTCAGGCTGGTCTTAAACTCCCGACTTTAGGTGATCCACCTGCCTTGGCCTCCCAAAGTGCTGGGATTACAGGTGTGAGCCACCACACCTGGCAAGGCAAGTGGTTTTAAACCCTGGATGCATATCAGAATCTCCTGAGGAGTGTTGTAAAAAATGTTGATGCTTCAGAAATTCTGATTTAACTGGTCTGCGTAGATCCCAGGCATTGGTATTTTTATAAAGTTTCCCAGGTGATACTGATATGCAAGTACTAACAAGAGCTTAGAACTTTGAAAAAGCAACTCACAATAAATCAATAAATATTTCATTTTTACATATTTGTTTATTCACAACTTGGCATTCTAGCATATCCAAAAAATGCACTTATTTGGCATATTCTTATATTCACAAGTTTTTCACATGTTGGCATTTCTTTCATCCATGGCTAAACCTCAAAATCATAGTTTCTCTGGTGACTGGGGAAAAAATGGTAGCTCATTTATACCCTTCAATAGAGCAAAGACAAGAATGAGGATTTGGGGGCGTCTTTTCAGGCATAAATTAATTCATGGGTACACCAAGACATAGAATGTCCCAGGCTCTTGTTTTAATAATTTTAATGGCTGGACGCAATGGCT